GAAGAGCATATCGAATTTGTAGTCCAGAGTTTCTTGACGAGGAATGTACATACATATATACAACAAACCTTCACTGATCTACATTTCCCTTCCTTTTTCATCATAGACTGCAAGAAAAGAGCCCTTCAGATCATTAATTCTCCACGCAATAACACCACTCTTAACAAAGGTATAATCCTTCCCTACAGACAGGTTACACTGAACATCTCTAAAGTGCTCGCACAAGCTAACACATCATCGAACCAGTAATTCCATAAAAGTTCGACTATGGCAAATTGACAAAACATTAACCAAGACCCTTTGAAAAAGTCTCACTGAACACTTTAAATGCATGTAAACGATAACTTGAACACCCCTATACAACCCCGGAAATTTTCCACCACCCCCCGATAAAAATTACGACGCCCGTAGAGTAAAGTCTTAAATCATCATTACTCCATTCTAACAAAATTTAACAAATAAAGGCACGTATCATTTCTAAATTTATTAGCAGGAATTCCTTCAAAAAAAACCCCTTCTCAAAAGGCTCCTACCACAAGAACCTACTACCCCAAAATTACTACAACACTACTATTTAACCAAAGTAATTTACTACTACCCCCAACGATATATTATTTTTGCATCTCACGCTCTGTCTATATTACCTCTGTTCCTTTTTTTGCTTTAACGGCTTAAAACAAAGCTCCTGGAAGGAACTCGCTACAATAAAATGTTGCATTGTTGCATTTTTCCTTTTTTACCTACACAACAAATGTTTCTTGGCTGGTAGTCATATGATGACCCCCAGTGGAATTTTTTTATCTGACCAAACCCTTCAATCTTAAAATCCCCATTATTTAAAATTAAAATAAATCAGTCCCGGGTGTGTTCTATCAAAAGTCTGTATAGGCAAAAAAACAGGTTAATAGCCCATTAACACACGGGGGACTGCCAGAATCATTGGAACCCGTCACTTGTTCACTAAATTAGATACTTTTGGCAACATTGGTATCTTTTTTGGGGAAAAATGTTTCCCCAGGGGCTTTATCATCCGATACAAGAAGACTAGTAAGATCAGAAGCAGACTAAGTAATTTTCCCCCTGGAAACGTTTCCCCCCCGCTGGCTTTTTTGGTTAAATGCAGAACGATGGAGATAGGATTTGGGTAATCATCTTTCAGCCTGAATCTATATAATCAGCCATCATTTTGATAAGGCTGGGGGACGTTATATCGACCCCAGTGAGGACTGATTACCTCCACCCCTTTTTCATCTTCACCATTTTTCCTTGAAATTTGGACTATGAAACCATTTTGCCTAATTCCATGCTTATTTTTTATTATTATTATTATTATTATTATTAAAGCAGAACAAAGCGCAAAAATCCTAAGGATCATTGTGATAAAACAGTAGGTTCATGACCTTTACCTTTACATGTTAGTGTTCATTGCTAATTTCACCCCTAGTTGAAGGGGTTCCCGATTTATTACTATAATCAGGGGAAAACGCAAACCCCTAAGGATAACACCCTGGGGGGGGGCGGAAGATATTCGGGTTTTTCATTCAGGGAAGTGGAGCACAGACCCCAATTCCCTGATAAAGGCCCCCCACCACTCGACAAACCTTTCCCTTGAGGGGAGGGGTTGCTTGAAACTGTGTAAACACTGTTACTTGAATTTTTGATGAATGGAACAGAAAAAAAAGGAGCACGCAAAAGGGACACTCCCCCCTTATTTATTCCCCCAGAAAATCACCGAAACATTTTTATTCCCCAAATATTCCCAAAACTATTTTTTCCCCTCAGCACTACTGGCGCCCCTCTGAATACGAAATATTTTATCGGGGGGTGGTGTTGTTTTGGTTTGGGGGTTGGGTGGGGGTGGGTTAAGTATTGTGTGAGTTATCTTAGTGAAGTTTCAGTCTTATATTTTCAACACTGCAAATCTTCATCCTTTAAAAAATAGACAAACATAGGTAATTTTGGGTTTTCACATGTAAAACCGTATAGAAGATAGGGGGCACACTGCTGCACCTTACAAAGAAATCTTTTCATTTTTTATAAGAAGTCACTGCTGCCGGGGGAAGTCCCTAGTGATGCTACAAAAAGGAATGCTCACCCCTTATACTCAACCTTTCAAAACTGAATAAAATTTCCCGTAAAGTGTGTTTTTGTTTGGGGTGGGTGGTTGCGGGGTCGGTCGCAGCCCTGGCCCACCTCCTTCTGGGCGCTACTAGCTTCACTCCCTGCTCCAAGACCTTATCGATCCTTTTTTAAAACTTTAATGGGTCCTGTCTCTATACACGCTCTCCAATTTTGATGTGTGGGTTAGTTTTCCATTCTCAGAGGCATTTTCGATGAAAACTTGCCTTTTTTTTGGGGTTTTCAAGAGGGGGGGTGTGTTTGCCCCCTTTTTCTTGTGTTTTAGTGGGGGGGAGAGAAGTTTAAAACAGCCAGTCCCCTCCCCTAAGTTTTTCGACCGGGATTAATATTTCCTCCTCTTGGGAACGTATACGAAATTTGCTCTAAACACACAATTTACTTTTTCTTTACCTCGAGAATGAAGAAAAACTTTTTATTTACCTTAATAGTTTATGAAGGTCGGATATATATACCCAAATACTTTAAATGGCAAACATACACACACAGTGTTCTTTTCTGGATCCCTTTTTTTTGGGCCTTTTTCACCTAAGAAATAATTTGTTTGATTTATTCCAGGAACGCGCCCGACATGGGGCTTAAACCTAAATGACCTATCGAGGGGCGAAGGAGATGTCATAAATCAGCTGTTCGTGGCCTAGTTAGGGTCTTCTGTTCCCGTTTTCCACGGCGTTTTTTTTTAAAGTTCAAAAATGGGGTGAGGGATCAACCCCCCCATTGCTCAGGCCCTTGTTGGGGGGCGGGGGAAATTTGCCAATAAACACAAGGGTTGTTTTGTCCATGATAGTTGAAAAGCCGGGGATATGTGGGGAAAAGGGGGAAATCACAGGTGGTATTTAACGTGGCATCAATTCCGTGTCATGGTAATGGACAGTATCATGTGGCCAATTTGTTTAAAAAAACGTATTGCCCCCTGCGGGTGGGAATGCAATTTTTTTGTCCCGTTTAAGAAATAAGGTTTGGTTTTATTAAGATTAAGTCAATTTTAGAGTTGGGAATTTTTGTGAAGTTTCGTAAAAATAGGCTTTTTAGCAAAATCGGGAAATTTAAAAATAAAATAAAAATGTGGAATGTCCCCAAATTTGGGAAAAAAAATTTTGGGGGGTAGTCCCCCCGCCTGGAGGAAGGGTTCAGTTAGGGTTGGAAAATTTCCGCCCGTGGCTTAACCAAATTTGGATTTTAACTTTTTAAAAAATATTTTTAAAGAAAAATAATTTGGTATCCGCAAAAAAAAAACAAACATTGCTGTTATTGTTTTATTTCTTGGGGAATCGAATTCAAGAGGGGTTTTAGGGGTTGAAATAAAAAAAAAAAAAGGGAAAGAGAGGCCTAGGATAGGAGGGTTAAAATTACCGGTAGAGGGAGAAGTATGGGGTAAAGTTTTTTTTTCCCTTTTTGGGTCACCCTGCCTTGGTGAGAGGCGGCCGGTGTGTTAATAAAAAAACAATAACGTCAAACCATACCCAGTAATAACGTCAAACTCTGCTTTATTTCCACGGAGACTTTTCTCTTGTGTCCACTTGAGGTATCTGAAGTTCCTTTGTAATATGAATAAATGGTTTACAAAGCCAATAAGTTGATAAATGAGACACTTGTGCAACATTTGGGTATCTTTATTCTGGAAACGTTTCATCAGCCAAGGGCTTCTTCAGTCCAGTGCAGAAAAAAAGTGAAAGATGAGGAATTTGAGGTAATCAGTCCCTCAGCCTCCAAGCTGAGGGACTGATTACCTTAACTTGTCGATTTTCAAAATCATTTTCATCACACTGTATTGTGTGTATTTCTGTTGTCGACGTTTCTCACTGTAACTTAGGTACGCCACTGTAACTTAGGTACGCCACTGTAACTTAGGTACGCCACTGTAACTTAGGTATGTCCTAATATTTCCACCCAGTACGGGTGGAAACATTAGGACGTTTTTCCATAAGACACCTGCTGTCCCTGCTCACCTAGCAGTAAAATAGGTACCTACCTGGGTGTTAGTCGATTGGTGTGGGACGCATTTTGGGGACAAAATTGACCTAATTTGCCAGAAATGCTCTGCATAACAAGCGGCTTTCTGTATAGTAGTATGACATTGATGTCGGTTAAGACTGTATACTTTGTACATGTACAAAGTATACTTGTAGAAATAGGGATATTACTATCCGTATTCGGTAGAAATCCATTACGATGCAATAAAGTAAATTTGTACTTTAGTACATTATTGGTGCACACGGTCTTGTCATGGTGAGATTTAGATTTTGCCACCGAAGTGGTTAGTTTATTGTGCACCCCATATCCATCCTGTGGATGGTAGCGCAAGAGCGTATGGATACATAAAAGGCCTAGGAACTAGGCCCCAAAAGGGTTAACAGGTGTACATTTGGATTTATATCTACAGTTCACGTATCTGTTACAAGCAAATTTAGGAAATTTGCTTAGTATATTTGGTTCACATAGGTTATTATACTGTCTGTCTCTATATTCCTCATTAAGTGGACAATTCAATGTGAGGCGCGTGTTTACCTCCATCAGCGGGGCACAAGTTCTACCAGTTTTTATCAACCCATCGAAGAATGCAAGCACCTCAGTCACCCTGAAGACATTCCAGTAACCTGGATCAACTTGAATTACAGGAGAAAGTTTTTTTTTGGGCTACTAAGATATAATTAGAATTTAGTTTAAAGATTGTTGCTGAGATGAAAATTTACCAATTGAGATAAATGCGTCGCACCTGAATACAAAACCTATTAGAAAAATATTGATAGGATTTATATATCTTAAAGGAGAATAAACTTGGTTAAAATTAACGATTTTGCATCTGCAGTCAAGCATGATGGTAAATCTGGATGCATTACAGTAAATCTGTGAAAGTTAGTCACCTGTTCTTTACACCTGTTGAGATGTACCATACTCACAAAGCAGCCTCACATCCAGCTTTTAAGATTCCAGTTTTCTTTGTACACACAACTTCCACTGAAGAATCCTTTCCAGGGCGCTGTAAAATACTTTTCAGAATAGGTTTGTTGTGTATGCATTAAGTCTGGAGCGGTACACGAGAATACAGACACTCAAACAGACGATTCCACACACGCTCATCCTGCACCTCTTAATGTTAACGTGGTTGTAAACAGACTGGTGTTGAGAAGCCAGCGCATCCTGGGTAAAACTCGGCCTCACTCTCTTCAGATCCCTTCTTCTGACTTTAACACTAATTCAATTGATAGTTTATACAAAACCCTTTACTGTATGCTTATGTTTTAACGCGTATGTATATTGTAAGTACATTTATCTTGATAGAGATGCTTAAAAGTTGTTCAGAGATTTGTTGATACAGAGTAGAGATGAGGCGGACGAAGCCAGAACCAGTCAGGCGGGAGAACTCAAGCAACATGTAACCAACCACAGTCATTCATGACACGCCACTAAAATGCACTCGACACCGCTACAGAGGCCACAGTGCTTCCTTCAGCACTCTTTAGTACCACCTTACTTTATGTTTAATGTGTTGTCAACACTTCCAGGAAAGACTGCTTAGGTAGGCTGGTGAACATCAGCGCAAACTGTGTCCTTCCAGGTGAGATCCAGTGACGTCAACAGGTGTAGCCCTCCTTAACCTGGTTTATTCACCGTTCTCACACACAGGAAGCTGAAACAAAGTGTCTCCTGGTGTTGTTGTTGATGGATAGTCAAAACTAGATGTAGTGTAGGTAGAGAAAGGGCGAGGAGCAGTCAATGGTAAGATAGCTGTGGGTGTGGTAGACAGCTCGTAGCCTGGGATTGACGTCAACCTTGCCTCTCCCTTATAAACATCTGGGGAAGTACTGACTTCATCTTATTACACATCTTCCTCCTCCCCCAAATGCGTATTGTATTTATTAAATAATGCTACAGCACAAACAATGGTGCATTAATATCCAACCAAGGTATATTAAACAGACTCAGGAAGACAATACATTATGTCACATGACCTTGTGGTATGTAATCATCTTTGGACACTTGTACCTACTGATATTGCTTATAAATGAGGTGTATATCCTAGCTGGTGGATAAGTGGGGAAAGGTGTCTGGGAGAGGAATGGGTGTGAAAGGTGTCTGGGAGAGTATTGAATGGGTGTGGAAGGTGTCTGGGAGAGTATTGAATGGGTGTGGAAGGTGTCTGGGAGAGTATTGAATGGGTGTGGAAGGTGTCTGGGAGAGTATTGAATGGGTGTGGAAGGTGTCTGGGAGAGTATTGAATGGGTGTGGAAGGTGTCTGGGAGAGTATTGAATGGATGTGGAAGGTGTCTGGGAGAGTATTGAATGGATGTGGAAGGTGTCTGGGAGAGTATTGAATGGATGTGGAAGGTGTCTGGGAGAGTATTGAATGGATGTGGAAGGTGTCTGGGAGAGTATTGAATGGATGTGGAAGGTGTCTGGAGAGTATTGAATGGATGTGGAAGGTGTCTGGGAGAGTATTGAATGGATGTGGAAGGTGTCTGGGAGAGTATTGAATGGATGTGGAAGGTGTCTGGGAGAGTATTGAATGGGTGTGGAAGGTGTCTGGGAGAGTATTGAATGGATGTGGAAGGTGTCTGGGAGAGTATTGAATGGGTGTGGAAGGTGTCTGGGAGAGTATTGAATGGATGTGGAAGGTGTCTGGGAGAGTATTGAATGGATGTGGAAGGTGTCCGGGAGAGTATTGAATGGATGTGGAAGGTGTCTGGGAGAGTATTGAATGGATGTGGAAGGTGTCTGGGAGAGTATTGAATGGGTGTGGAAGGTGTCTGGGAGAGAATGCAAAACTAGCCATGTGTTAACACTTGACACAGACCCGTGTCAGGAGACATTTAACACGTGACACAGACCCGTGTCAGGAGACATTTAACACGTGACACAGACCCGTGTCAGGAGACACTTAACACTTGACACAGATCTGTGTCAGGAGACACTTAACACTTGACACAGACCCGTGTCAGGAGACAACACGTGACACAGACCCGGGTGAGGAGACACTTAACACGTGACACAGACCCGTGTCAGGAGACATCTGGGTGAATATGGACACTCTACGCTCAGTTCAGTACATTAACGTAAACATTGCATCACAGTGGTTTAACCAATCCTAGGACTGTTAGCGCCGCTCATAGCGAATATATGCTAAAGTGTACACAAAGGTGTTAATCCATAGCTTGTCGGTACCACCATATATATCAATTACATGAGACACTTATGCTTCTTGAAAAACAAAACATCACCACCACCATCACCGTGGCCTTGAATACAAATGTAAACATTTCTTTACGTCAGCAGTGGCTGCCAGCTGATCCTCCCGCAGCGTAGTCACCTGATTGAATTAATCTTCCAAGTTACCACGTGAGTTGTATCGCTCGGTCAGAGACGGGGAATGTCTAGAAGGCAGCAACCATCCATGAAAATGCTGCCATCCTGTCATTCAAGTGAGGAACAGAAGCCTGCTTGACGTTTTTCGCCTTGGGCTCTGTATGTATGTATATATGAATAAACAGGATGGACGAGAGACTTAAACCGTGGTCCCAAAATTGGTTCATCGCTCTACTTCCTCGGCCACGAGGCTTCTAATAGAGAAGGTTCGGAACCACGAAGATTTGGGCACCATACCTTCAGTTTCTTTTCCATTACTGTGTTCCGGTTCCTAGGTTCTTGGATTCCTGGTCCTTGTCCAAGGTCAGGGGAGTGGGAAAGGTTGATGTGGGTTGGGGGTATGGAAGGGGGGATTTTGTGAGAGGCTGTTGTGAGGTATGAGGGCTGTGGGTGTGGGGTATGGTTTATTTTGGGTTATTATGCATGGGTATGAGGGAAGACTTGGGGTTGTGTGGGTGGTTGTTCTTGGTAGTGGTTCTCATGAGCCTGAGCTTCCATACCTGTCCATTCTTGTCCTTTCTCTCCTTCCAGCCTCCGGCGTCTTTGTGCCCCCCTCCTCTCTCTCTCTCTCTCTCTCTCTCTCTCTCTCTCTCTCTCTCTCTCTCTCTCTCTCTCTCACACACACCACACACCACACACACACACAAAAAACACACACTAACTATTTCCTTTCCTTCCATATCTCTGTGTCTGAGTTGAGAAATTCCTTTGGTGTAAGTAAGTAAGTAAGTTTATTCAGGTATACACAGATACAGTTACATAGAATTATCATACATAGCAGCATATGTGCAGAGAACCTGGGATAACCCAAAAAAGTCAGACAGAGTGACTTATTTCCATTGGGGTCCTTTTACCTTATTATTATAATATAAAGGTTATAATATGTTCTTATTATTCTATAATGAAGATAACATCTTATTATCATACTAAAAAGATTGTCTACAATACGAGGGTCATTACTACGAATAAGGTAAAATTTACACGTGTGTTAGCTAAAAAATAGAAAATCATTCCCCTCCCTTTCTGTAGCTACATTCATCAGACACCTTTTGGCACTCTTCTTGAAGAGTGACTGGTTTTGACATGTGCGGGTAGTCTGTTCTATTCCTTTATTGCTGTACAATAAAAGGTGTTTGAAGCCTGGCCACTGACTGTGGGTACTACAAAGTTGTGCTCTCTCCCCCTAGTACTATGATTGCTGCGGTTCCCAACCTTGACAAAATTGACAGCAAGATATTCTGGACACTGTTTGTGAGCAATTTTATAAACATGATTTAGCTTCAGTTGTTTTACTCTGTCTTCAACATTCAGCATATCCAACTGCTGTAATTCATCCTGGCCTACATGTTCTCTTGGTCCCAGCCCCAGATGAATCTTACGATTTTGTTCTGGGGATTTTCAGTTCTATTTTTTCAGTTTTTTTTTTTTGTAAAGGGCAGAGTACCATGAAGAGCAAGCATAATCCATATGGCATTGTATAAGGGCTAGACATAGGGTCCTGCGAGCCTCAGTAGGTAGACACTGTGCTTGTCTATACGGGAACTTCAGTCTGGCATTCGTTTTTCTTTACTACACTGTTCCCTATCAATTTCCCTGACATGCATGGGTCAAAGGGAATTCCCAGAATTTTACTGAAAACCCAAAAGTGATGGGTCCCCCATTACACTGGACATAAAAATTATTTACCCTTCTCAGTTTATGTTTCGTGCCAAAAGAGAATGGCTTCAGTTTTTCCCGGGGTGTAATGATAGTTGTTGTCTACTAACAATTTGCGCAGGACTCCAGTTCCAGTGTTAAAACCATTAGCTATATTTTGTGGGTCTTTACCTGACACTAACAGAGCACTGTCATCTGCATACAGTAGGAGTTTGCACTTGACACGATAGGCATGTCTCTGACATAACATAAGAATAATAAGGGACCTAGAATACTACCTTGGGGAACTCCACATGCTATCGGCAGGGTTTCTGATTCCGTTTGTTGATTTTTGATAATTTGTCTCCTGTTGCTAAGGTAGGACTTAAAACCCCAGTCTACAGAAACCTTACCGATAGCTTGAATTTTTCTTACATAAATATTGTGGTTGACAGTATCGAAGGCCTTTTGCAGGTCTAAGGTTACCAAAACCTATGATGTTCTCCTTTGACATTTCAGTTCTCAGGTAATCCATCAGATTAATTAGGGAGGTGTCGGTTGAGTAAGATCTTCTAAAGCCCGATTGATAGCTATGGAGAATGTTGTTGTCATTAAGGTACTTAACTACTTGAGAGTACACCGCCCTCTAGAATTTTGGATATTATACTGAGTATACTAACAGGCCTATAGTTGCTGACATCAGACCTACTATTTTTCTTGAAGATAGGAGTAACTCTGGCCTCCTTGAACCCCTCAGGTACGGTATTAGTGGTGATTGATAGATTTATTATGTGAGCAATAGGGATTGACAGTTCAGAAGCACCATCCTTTAGGAACTTAGACGGGATGTTATCAGGGCCTGTGCTCTTAGTTGGGTTTAACCTGCTTAGTTCTTTTTGAATAAAGTCATGAGATACACTTACTAGTTGACAACTCTTTGGGGTTACCCCTTTATTGGTATTGTTTACCTTATCATCTCCTGCACCTCCCGGAGATAGTATTTCTGCAAAGGTCTTCTGAGTTGTGTCCCATCCTTCAGTCCCCTCGCCTGCTGTGTGTGTGTGTGGGTGTGTGTTTTGTGTGTGTGTGTGTGTGGTGTGTGGGGTGTGTTGGTGTGTGTGTATATGTGTGTTTGTGTATGTGTGTTTATCTGCCTAATGGTTTAGAAAGACACATGAGCAAACACTAGGACATATTAGAAAACGTTTCGGTCCTAGGACTGAAACGTTTTCTAATAAATATGTCCTAGTGTTTGCTTACGTGTCTTTGTAAACCAATTTGTCAGCATCTATTACCAAGGTTTATACTATCTGCCTAATAGTATGTAG